GGTATTTAATTGAAAAAGTAGGTATTTAAATGAAAAATAAGTCCACAAAATTACCAAGGCTGGTGAGTTTACAGTTAAACTGTGTTTGGTTGAGAAACAGCCAATATGACTGTCATATTCACAAAGGATCCGGCAAATCTCCGGGCAGCAGCATTGCCAACGCCTGGGGTGCAGGTTTTGTTAGGCAGTTAGTTAGCTCTCGGAAAGTGCAAAAGCTTTCCTTTATTTTGGTAACTCTCATTTGTCTCAGGACAGTGAACTCATTCCCCTTTCCGAGCCCCTTCCCTTCCTCTGTCTCTTCTTTCCTTTACTTTTTCTTTCTGATTGGAATATGCATGGTTTCCATCCCACTTTGCCTCTAGAGTTCCACCTAGTGGTTAATTTTCTGGCCCCAAGGCACATATTTAACCAGGAGTTTGTTTTGATACAAGATTAATTGAACATTTTGTTTTATTTGTTCAGTTTTTGTTTATTTTGGTGTAAAAAAGATATTAATGATAATGATGATTGCAATAAAACGTTCCTGTGCATGTTAACAAAATAAGTCCTGTTGCAGTGAGACTGAGACTTGGCTCCTGTCTGGAAGCTCTACCTGCACTTGCCTGAGGAATGCATTATTATCAGCTCATCTCCTGAAAGCAGGAGCAAGAACAATCATCTCCACCTGTTAAGCCCACGGTACCTATAACTGTAAGGCCTCTTCTTTCTCAGGCTTGCCAACGCCCGGTGACTCTGTGAGCTACCTAAAGCTGCAGTGATCTTGGGGCTGGAACTACCAAGAGGCTCACCCACATATGACAGGACCCCTGGTGGAGGCTGAGCTGCCTCTAAAGAAGTGCCCTGGGGTCCAGAAGGCACTAGGGGATCTAGTCCTGAGAGCCAGGCTCTGGAATGAGGCAGAAGTGAAACAGAACCAAAGGGAAGCTCTACAGCATTGGGTGCCAGGGGTGTCCAGAAGGTTTGGAAGCTGATGGCTGCCCTTTCTCTCCTCACGACCCACAGTCTCTTCTTCCCCTGGGGCTCCTCCATATGTACTCTTCAGCAGGGTCACTGAACTTGTGGCAGCTCAGAGTTCCCAGAAGTGTGAAAGCAGAAGCTGCTGGGGCTTCCTAGGCCTGGAGCTGGGGGAGCGTCACTTCTGAACATTCTGTGGTTAAACACTCGCAGGCCTGGCCAGATTCAAGAGCTGAGGAACTTGGTATCTCTGATGTGGGAACAAAGAAGACCTTGGAATCGTTTTCACTCTACCACACTAAACAACACAATCTGAGTTCCTCATCACTGCCATAACAAATCACCCCAAATGGAGTGGCTTAAAACACAGAAGTTTATTCTCTCACAGTTCAAATGAAGTTATCCCCTCCAAAGACTCTAGGGGAGAATCCCTCCTTGCCTCTTACAACTTTGGTGACTCCAGGACTCTGCTGGCTTGGATAGCTCTTGTCTCTAGACAAGAGACAAAATCTGTGTATCACTGGCCTCCTTCCCACTCCCTCTTTATCTCCTTCCACCCACACTTTTTAATTTTTTCCTTAGAAAGACACCAGTCATTGAATTTAGGACCCACCTAATTCCAGGAGGATCTCATCTCAAAATCCTTAACTTGAGGGCTGAGGATGCAGCTCAGTGCTTAGTGTGCATTCCCCTGAGTTCAGTCCCCAGCACCACAAAACAAACACACACAGCAAAACAAAAAGGCCCTCAAAAACAACAAAACAAAGTAAAACAAAAAACTTAGCTTAATTACATCTACAAAGACTCGATTTCCATGTAAGTTCACATTCACAGGTACTGGGTGTGGGTTAGAGAAATACAATTCAATGCACTAAAGCAGACATAACCCTGTGTCTATCCTGCTGGGAATATGTTGTCCTATCTGGATCATTGGCTTTGTATTTTCAATTAGTTCTAGAAAACTCAGTCATTCTCTTTAAAAATATTGCCTCTATTTTTTTCCCTTCTCCATTCATCCCTGTTGGGTTCCCAGACATATATCAAGGCAGGACTAAACTTTTTCTGTAAAAGGCCAGAGAGTAAATATTTTATTGAATTTGAAGGATACACAGTCTCTACGGATTCAAATCAACTCAGTTATAGTGTGAAAGAAGCCAGAGGCAATTTATAAACAAACAAGTGTGGTTGTATTCTAATAAAACTATTTAAAGAATCAAGTGGCCAAGTAGGAATAACCCAGGGACGTTAGGCCAACCTCTCTACTAGACCTTCTCATTCTAGTTTTTGTATCCTTTGTACTTTGTCATATTTTCATCTCTTTATTTCTCTGCTGCATTCTGGATAACTTCTTCAGATTTATCATCCAGTTCATTAATTCTCTCTTTGATTGCAATCTACTGTTTATCTGATCCATTGAGCTTTTTAAAAATTTGATATTTAAAGTAATAAGTTTTAGAAGTTCCATTTTTTCCCTCCTGATTCAATCTATTCATGCCTGACAGTTTCTTGTTGCCTACCCGTCTTTATGAGTGTATTCTCTCTTCTCTAAGCATTTTGTACTTACCTCTTCTGCATGTTGTAGCAAATATAGAAACACCTGTAATCCTTGGGGATCTAAGGCTGTTGACTCTTGTTTCTCTTAGCTCTAATTAGCAATGACTTGCCTTTCCATTTATTTGTCAATTTTTCTTTGTGAAGTTATCAGTACAGTATGTTTTATTTGTAGGATTCTGGCAGGACCAACTTAGACAAACTATGATTCCAAAGAGGCTCTACCTCTGTTTTCGCCAGTAGCTAGAGGAACTCCCTCTCCTCTATGAAAGATCACCTCAGAATCCCCCAAGTAAGAGTCTCAGATTCAGGTTCGCAAGGGACCAGGTCTCAGGACAACTCTCCCTGCTCTCAGTGACTCACACCCCATCTCCCTGCCCCTCAGCCTCTTCCTTCTCATCCAGCCTCTGCCATCTTGGGTGATTCCTGCTCTACTTCTGGAGTTACTGGTGACTCCCTTCCTCCCCTGGCCACCCCTGCCCTTTGAGGCTCAGCTTTCCTCTGTCCATCTGTGTCTATTTCACAGCATCCCCAGAGCCCTCTTCAGCTGCAGAGATAGTCCTGTTTGAGATAGTGTTGTTTTGGAGCTAGCCAGTTCTCCAGCTGCTGGTTTCTCATGATGGGGAAGTAGAAGCTATCACCCACAGTTCTTTGGGGAACTTACTTTCACACGGATGCACATGCTTATGGGTTTCACTTATAACACGTTGGTTTTCCTGTGAAGATAGAATCATATAGACCCTCTCCAGGTATGAGACTCAACTGTGGCTTGTTATTCCTCTCCACCCTCAGCAGCATCTCCTTGTCCCATCTGCGGCAGTGTCTCAGGTCACACTCACCTCATTCTTGGAAATCACTGGGAGAAGAGTACAAACAGAGCCATGCTTACAGTGCGACTCTATCCAGCAATATTAACATTTCAACCATGGGCAAATTCAAAGGGAGGATTTGTAGAATTTGAGGTTTTAACTTAGTTGGCTTTTCAGGGTCAACAGGGGAGGAGTATGGGGGATTACGACCGTCCCTTCTCCCCTGAAGTCACACTTCATAGTCATAGACTTGTACACCTGGGGACAAGCGTATGATTATTCTTGGTTTTATTAACATTAAAAGTTGAGAGAACATGGTGCAAAACCCTCTTACACATGACCCCCTGCTGAAAAAGCAAACAACCTACTATCCACTCACATGTGTTTCAGTCTCTGAGCAGAGCTTTCCTCCTCCCACTGCCGTGAGGAGCTAGTTTTCTGTGGTGTGATTTATGAGCCTGCCACAGGTGGATTGCAAATGGAGCTCTGTCAGTTTCTCCCCAGCTCTGGCAAGGCTGGGACTGCTGGACCCAAAGGAGCCGAGATGAGCCAGGGGAGGCAGGAGAGGCTGGGTGTGCGAGTCACAGCTTCAGGTGCCTGGAGCTCACAGCCCGTTCTGGTCTTGCACGAGCCCGCTATTCCACCCAGCAACACTGGACTGTTCCATTCTGTTTCTCTCAGGGAAGAAATAGCACATGTTGACATGAAAATTGACTGTCAGGTCCCTCCTGGGTCCCAGAAGTCATCAGGAGTGGAAACATTAGGCTTCTCCCTGCTAAAGCTTCTCCCTCCACAGAATTGTTGGGTGGTGAAGTCAGAGTTTCACTGGATTTTTTTTCCTCCTTCCTTGCAGTACACTTCAGCCAGGAGAGCAGGGAGAGTCTAGTAGGTGGAAAAAAGGCTTCTCAAAAATATGACCCACCCTGATCCCTGGAGACTGAGGAGGCAGACTTATTTGGAAAACAGAAGTTGTCGAGGTGATTAAGTGAGATCTTGAGGTGAGGAGATTCTGGACTCTCTGAGTGCCCCTTAAGTGCCACCATATGTGTCTTGATAAGGAATGAGGCAGAGGCTCAGATAAGGTGAATTCGGAGGCAGAGACTGGAGTGATGTGGCCACAATCCAAGGGACGCCAGGAGCTGCCAGAAGCTGCCAGGAGCTAGAAGAAGAGAGGCAGGCACCTCCCCAGAGCCTTCCTGGGAATGCAGCTGGACGCCAGACATCTGGCCTCGGTACTGAGAGAGAGAGAATTTATGTTGTTCTAAGCCACCCAGCATGTGGTAGCTTGGCAGAGACTACCACAGAGACCCAGGTGACTCTCTAGCACCAGTCCCAGAAAATCACTGAGGTCATAACTGACAGTATTCGGCCCTCATGGCTCTGCTGAGGCATGCCCTGAAGGGGCCAGGCCAGCAGTGCCCTAAGAAATGGCCTGCAGGAAAGCATGTGTGTTGACATTGATTTTGGTGGTGTATCCCAGGGAAGTCAGAGTGGGGGGTGTGAACAAGGGAAGGTCAGTGAATACAGGGGAGACTTTTTTCCATGACCACGTCTTCTCAGGATGCCAGGGCTGTATGGTCACGGGAGACACCTCGGGAAAAGCCACATGAACCGCTGCTGCTTGGAGCCAGCTGTGGGTGGGGAGGTGGGCCAGCCACTCACTGCTGCCTCCTCCCCGTCTCTCCTGGGTGGGCTTGCCTTCCCACTTCCAGCATCAGCCTGGGTGCCAGGCTGCTGCAGCTGCACCTTCAGAGCCACAGGAGGCTGTGGTGGTGGGAGGACAGGGTCCTCCCTGGGGCCAGTCCAGCTGGGAAGCAGGCGGGTGAGGATGTCAGGGCCACAGAAACTCACCCAGGTGTCACCGAGGCTCTGAGCTGGTGGCTAGGGCCCTCTTCCTCCCACCTGGTATACTCTCAGAGATGGGGGACTGAAGGCTCATTTGCCCCAAGCACACACCCTGCCAGAGTCCCCACTGCCAAAACTTGTCGGCCGTAATTCTGCTGTTGGTCATTCCCCATTCATTTAGTTCTTCCTCCAGTCCCTCTGCTTATCATGCATGGCTGTTTAGCTCATCTGCTTCCTGTCTGTCTCTTCATTTACACGACACCTGTCCTCGGTATCCTTGGGAGATTGTCCCAGGACCCCCTTGGACACTAAAAGCCTCAATGTGCAAGTCCCTGACATAAAATGGCATGGTACACCTGTAATCCCAGAAGATCAGGAGGCAGAGGCAGGAGGAACTCGAGTTCAAAGCCAGCCTCAGCAATTTAGCAAGGCACTAAGCAACTCAGTGAGACCCTGTCTCTAAATAAAATACAAAATAGGGCTGTGATGTGGCTCAGTGGTCCAGTGCCCCTGAGTTCAATCCATGTACAAAAAAAAAGTGGCATGGTATTTTCATATAACCTGTACACGTTGTTCTACATAATTAAATCATCCCTATTTTGCTTATAAACCTACTACAATGTAAATATAGTATAATGTAATTATAGTATAATGACTATTTCCATTAGTCATTATACTATAATTAGTCATTATACTATATTCTGTAGGGAATAAAGAAACAAATCTTTGCACATATTTGGTAGAGATGCAATTCCTCCCCCTACTGTATTCTGCAGTTGGTTGAATCTCAGGATGTAGAACCCACAGACACGAAGGGCCCACTCTAGTCTCTCCATGTTACTTAGCTTGCAGGAACAAACTTGCTGTCTTGTGGGTTTGAGATATCTCTTATGTTTCTGCATTTGATTAGACACTGCAAAGAGAATTCTCCTTCAGTTATACTTCACAGAGAGAATTGGAAAGAGGAAAGAGAAAGAAGGTTCTTTGACAGACAAAATAGGCTCCAGAGACACTTCTTTGATTTGACAAGCAGAAGAAAAGACTTCTTGGCTAGAAGAGACCTGAAGCAGATTTAAAATTGAATTTCCTTGGATGAAGGATGGATCTGGGTCATGTATATGTAACCCATGTGTGCACAGTCAAGTTGCAGGGCCCCTCGTGGGGTCTCACGTCTGGTCCACGAAGCCAGGCATGAGGGGATGGCCTCCTTACCTAGATGAAACACAGAAGCCCCAGGACCTAGGGAGGGCAAGAGCAGAAGTGGGCCCCAGCCCTGAGTGGGCTCTGTGGGCCTGGGCTGTGGGATCAACTAGAAGCCAGATCCAGCCAAAACAGGGATGGGACCTTGGCAGGGAGCATCATCAACACCAAGAAAGAGGGCAGCCCAAGTGGGAAGACAGGGAGGGGAGGTTCTGGAATGAACAGTTACTTTTAAAGGTTTTAAATGGGAAATAGCTGGACTTTACCTCCACTTGGCAAGGTTAATACTCCCTCCACCCCAGAAATGGCCTGGAGCACCCATGTAAGTCATAGATAAAAGCAGATGGTCTGTCCCTTCCCCAAACCAAATGTCGGGGGATCTGAACTCACTGCACGAGTGTATTTCTGACCCTGTGGAAGTCAGTCCTTCTGAAGGCTCCTGAGTGCCAGAGGATCAAGCAGGCCAGAAACCTGGAGAGGCCCAGGAGAGGCCCTGGGGACACCCACACACTGGACACCTGGTTTCACAGTGGCCCAGAGAGAGCGCAGGGAAGGGTGAGTACAGAATCCACTGCCACGTCAAAGAAGCGTCACAGCAGCTGCTGTCCCAGGGGCCAGTGGGTTACAGTTCTGTCCCAAGACGGCCAGCAGTGAATATGTAATGAGCCACTCTCTCCTCCTCAGTCCAGGATTAATTATATCGGACACCTTTTCAGTTTCCTCTTGAGTGTCCCCAAAAGTCCTGTGTGTTCAAAACTTGGTCCCTGGGTGGCACTTATATTTGACATTCTCCATCCTATTAATTTCAGCTATTCTGTTTGCTCTTATGGAGAAAAAAGTGTTGGTTCCTGGAAATCTGACATAGGCTCTGCCATCTTTTCTTCTTAATTTTAATTTTTTTTGTAGTTGTAGATGGACACAATAACTTTATTTTATTTGTTTCTCTTTATGTTGTGCTGAGGATTAAACCCAGTGCCTCTTATATGCTAGGCAAGCGCTCTGCCATTCAGCCCCACCCCCAGCCCCAGTCTCTGACATCTGTAATTTGCTGTGACTTTGCAAAAGGGATAAACTCTTTGCAGCCCCACCTCTCCACCAGGAGGAGGTCAGACCTGGCACCTGTGTCAGCCCCAGGGACACCTGGATCGCTGGTGTGAGCCTGTGCAGGGCAGAAGTCTGGTCCTTTCAAACCCTCTGCCTTTCGTAACATGTTCCTTCCCTGGATCTGCACGTTGTCCCCTAGAGCCCTCTTATGATTGCACTCTGAGGGCAGCACCTTATTTTATGTATCTTGTATCTTTCACAACACTCATACAATTTGGAGCATCACACTGGCACTCAACGAGTACATGTTTATCAACCCTCTGGCTCCTGGGGCTTGGGACAGACATTCTGAGGTCATTGTCCATGTTTCTCAGTGTCCTCCCACGTCCCCTGCTGTGGTAAGCATCAAAAAGCCCAATGTAGAAGTACATTCAGAGTTGAGAGAGGAGGGGCTGGGTTGTGGCTCAGTGGTAGAGCACTTGCCTTGCACACGGGAGGCGCTGGGTTTGAGCCTCAGCATCACACACAAAAATAAACAAATAAAGTTAAAAAAAAAGAATAGAGAAAGGGAAACTCATAATTGGCATCGTTAGTGTCCAGATTCTTTCGGGGTCATTCATTGCTCCCACATTCCTACACAGGAGCTTCCGGGCCTTGCAAAGTTCTGGTACATGGTTAGGATTCCCCAAGGGAGATGCTCTCCTCCTGTCCTCCCATTCTGGCCTCCTTGTACACATCAATAGCCCACAGTCCATGAGAAGGAGGTACTTCTTTATGCTACCACTGCTGGCACCCTCCGGGAAGGTGGTCCTGCTTGGGCCAAGAGTGCCATCATCAGGCCCACACAGCTGTCTTTGGGGAGCCAAGAAAGGTGATCATCCCTGCAGGAGACAGAGAATGCCTCTCCTGCCTATCCTGACAGCACTGTCACCGGAGCTCTTTCAGAGTTTTTGCTACTGGTATGCTGCAGTGACAAACAGCCCCAAAAATCACAGATACACAACTCAACAGAGGTTTAGTTCTCCTCACCCCTGGACACACACAAAAGATCCAGGACCCAGTGTCCATCAGTATCAAAATACCTAACATAAACAATTTAAGAGAGAAATGATTTATTTTGGCTCCTAGTTTCAGAGGTTTCAGTCCATGGTTGACCAGCTCCATTGCTTTGGACCTGAGATGAGGCAGAACATCATGGTGGAAGGAGGTGGTAGAAGAAATCTTGTCAATTCATGGCATCCAGGAAGGAGAGAAAGACAGTAGAAAGGGTCCAGGGACAAGATATAGTCTCCAAGGGCATGGCCCCGAGACCTGCTTCCTTCAGGGGAGTCCCACCTGCCTACAGTTTCTACTACCTCCCAATACTCCATTCAGACTATTAATCTATTAAATGGATTAATCCACTGATGGGGTCAGAACTCTGATGACCCAATCATTTCATAAAAGCCCTGAACATTGCTGCTTGGGGACCAAATCTTCAACACATGAGACTTTGGGGGAACATTCCAGATTCAAGCCATAACAATCAGGGCAAGCTGGTTTCATAGTGGAGGAGGAAGAAGGAGCCAACAGCGGTGGCCTAACAGAGCTAAGCCTTGTGTGATTGCTACTCCTCAGAAGCACCATGCATCACTTCCACTCATGGTTCATTGGTCAAGGAAGCCATGTGGCAAGTTCACTGCCAACAGGGTAAGGAAGTGTAGCCCTCCGCAGGGAGGGACAGCAAATACCTTAAGGACAGAGCAAGACCTTGAAGACATGCTGCCCATTCTCAGTCTCACAATCTCTGCACCAGCCCAGGAGACTGGGGTGTTGTAGCTGCCTATGGGGTACTCCCTCCTTGCTGGGTCCCCCCCTGTTATGTTCCTCCCTTCTGCAAGCCCCTCCACAGGATTCTCCCTTTCAGTCAGTGAAAAAAAAATGGAGATGGGTGTGAGAATAGCAGCTGGCTCACCAGTTTTAAAAGAAGCCAAACTATGAATTCCAACCTGGAAACTAGTAAAATTCTGCAATTCTAGGAATGGTCTCCCACTCCAAAATGCAGAGGCCTTTGCAGTGTCATTTGACAGGGCAGGGTTTAGCTCCTGTTAGGTGAGTGGGCTCTACATGTCCCCCACCCTCATCTGGGTCCAGTGCTGAGTCTCTG